TGCAATATACTGAAGAATAGGCTTGCGTTGGAATTTCCTGCAATTTGCCCAAGCGCCGCGCCCCCGACACCCAGGCACCCAGGAGTCGTGCCCGTTGTGGCCCCACGTGCATGCCCTTCGTGGCCCCGCTGTCGCCAGTTGTGTCCCCCTCATTGTCCTACGTGGCCCAGCTGCTACCCTCAGTGGCCCCATAGTTGCCTTGTGTGGCCCCGCATTCTCTGCACTTCGTGGCCCCCGCTCGTTCGCACTCTTCGTGGCCCCATACGCATTCCCTTCGTGTCCCCGCTGTCGCCCTTCGTGGCCTACTTCGTGCCCTTCGTGGCCCTGCTGTCGTTCTCTCTCGCTTTCGCTTTCGCTCGTCGTCGCCGTCGTCGTCGTCGTCGTCTTCGACGTCGTCGTCGTCGTCGTCGTCGTCGTCGTCGTCGTCGTCGTCGTGGTCGGTCCCCTGTCCGTCCCTCTTGGGGTCGGGTCGACGGTCCGCGGCCGCCCCGCCGATCAGCGCTGCCGCTGGCCAGGCCGACGGTCCGCGGCCGCCCCGCCGCTTGCCGGGGCCCGGCCTGCAGGGAAGAAAGGTATACCCCCCAAAAGGGGTTCGATCGAAGACAAAGAGGGCGGGTATCGAGGGTTTGGGAAATAGGCGTTATTGGACACTCGAGCATATAAGGGCGAACAGTCTTAAACTGATCGTTGTTGTGTTGCTGTTGTTGTTGTTGTTGTTGTTGTTGTTGTTGTTGTTGTTGTTGTTGTTGTTGTTGTTGTTGTTGTTGTTGTTGAACATTATTAATTCTAAAGAATAATTATTGTTGGGACCCCTGGTGCACGCCCCCCCTGCGCCGCCTAGGCCGCAGCTACATTTTCATCATTTTCGTGAGGAAGCCTCAGGTAATTCGATGTGATCAAGATCCGGTTGTTTTGTTCCCCCCCGCTTTCCCTTGCAAAAAACACTATAAAATGACATTTCTTGTTCTAATATAATCAAATTTCAAGAATCCCTTGCAAAAAATAAGGTAAAGTGGACATTCGCGCGCGCAAGACGAAATCCTTCCAAAAGCTTAGTGTTCGGAGCGATTTTAACATAAAAACATCAAAAAACCAATGGTTTTTCAACAAAAAAATGTCAAAATCTCATCCCGCGCGCTCTTGCGGATTCGTAGGAAACCCAACACTTTTTAAACATTTCTGTCAAACGGGCTTTTGCGAGCAACTTTTTCGAACTTCTGCGACAACGGTTGCGCACCTGCCAGGGCCATCATCCCTGTCAAATAATACCATGCGGGACACATTCGTTTTTTGCGCGCGCACGCCGAAATCTCCAAAAACCATTGGGTCCTCGAAAAACACCTGCACGTCTTCCCTTGCGAGTACGTATCATGTGTATCATGTGTATCATGTACCATATGCATCATATGCAACAGATGTTCTGTGGAAGGCTTAACAACTTCTGTGGGTTAACAAGGCTTAACAACGTCTGTGGGTGTACGAACGTAGGCTTAACAACTTCTGTGGGTGTGTACTCCACGCCAGTGTAGTAGCCACGGTCGTCCGCAGGCCACGAAGTGAAGTGTCCGAACGTCATAGGGCGGGAAGCTGGGTGTGGGTGGTGGCGAAGAGTCGTGTGGATATTTGGTAGAGCTTGCATTGCCCCCCCACAAAGTGGGGGTATTGGCTGGCGTCGCATGAAAACCCTGGCACTGGTGAGAACACTGAGCGTTCGGGTAAAGTGATTGTTGTTGTTGTTGTTGTTGTTGTTGTTGTTGATGTTGAAATTTTTGTTGTTGTGTTTGTTGATGGTGTTGTTGAGCTGCCACTGTTAGAAAATAGCTATTGTTGATGCCCCCATGCGGTGCACATTGTACTGTTTATGTAATTGAAGTTCCCCTCCCGGCGCTCGCATTCCGTTTTTTTTGTTATATATATATATATATATATATATATATATATATATATATTAAGGGAACGCTTTCTTCCTGAAACTGTGTCGTTGCCCCCCGGTTTACAACAACATCGGCTCCCGCTTAATATTTCCTCGAAATTTACTTCTGTCCCCCGCTCCCGCTTGATACTCTTTCGCAAGTAATCGAGAATCGCGCTCTCGCCTGATAGATCCTCGCAATTTACTCAGGTGCCCCGCTCCTACCATTGAGGAATCGCGCGTTCGCTTTGGACTTCTTCAAGTTTGCTTAGGAATCGCTCTCTCGCTGGAAACTTCTTGGTTAATCACGCAGAACTCACGATCGATCCGCCCGCCCGGCCCGCCCGTCAGAGTCATGCCCTTCGTGCCCCCTGCTCGCTCGTCCCCTTTGTGCCTCATTGCTGCCCTTCGTGGCCCCTCCCCTTGTGGCCCAGTCGCTGCCCTTCGTGGCTCCGATGCTGCCCTCAGTGGGCCCCCGCTGCCTTTTTATGGCCCGCGCACATATACATATATATATATATATATATACACATATGTTTCTCGTGGCCCCCAGTCGCTCGTGCTGCTCTTCGTGGCTCCGCTGCTGCCCTCAATGGCCCCCTCGCTGCCCTCTGTGGCCCATATATACGCCCTGCGTGGCCCCAGGTCGCTCGTGCCCTCAGTGGCCCCATTGCTGCCCTTCGTGGTCCCAGTGTAGCCCCGTGTGCCTACCCCCCGCTGCCCTCAGTGGCCCCCTCGCTGCCCTTTGTGGTACATAGATTCGCCCTTCGTGGCCCCCAGTCGCTCGTGCCCTCAGTTGCCCCATTGCTGACCTTCGTTGCCCTGGCGTAGGCCCCTTGTGGCCTGTATATACACCCGTCGTGGCCCCCAGTCGCTTGTGCCTTCAGTGGCCCCATTGCTGCCCTTCGTGGCCCCGATGCTGCCCTCAGTGCCCCCCTCGCTGCCCTTTGCGGCCCATATATACGCCCTTCGTGGCCCCGGCCCGTCCGTTAGGGTCCGCCCGCGGGTCTGCAGGCCCGCCCTCCCGACCTGCCCGTTGGGGACCGCTGCCCGACCCAACCGTCTGAGTCTGCCGCTTGTTTTCCGGATCCTCTCTTAAGTCCCCCACCTTCTAATCTCTCTCGTCCGCAGTTCTGCTCCCTCCCTCCTGTTCCTTGCCTCCCTCCCTTCCCCCACTCCTTTCCTCATCGCTTTCTCTATCTCTCTCTCCCTCTCTCTTTACGTCGCTCTCTCTCTCTCTCTGTCTTTTCTCACTCTTGCTCTTTTAGGGGCTGCGCCCAAGACACGTCACGTGGGTGGCAGGTCAGAAAGATGTACTCCCCAGAGGGGGGCACGATCGAAGACGAAGAGGGCGTGTATCGGGGGTTTGGGATATACGCGGTGAGGTACGCGCGAGCAGATAAGAGCGAACAGTCTTAAAATGATTGTTGTTGAGTATTCATTTCCAAAGAACAATTATTACTGATCTCCGGAAACGGTTCCGCGCGCTCTCGCCTCGACGCCAGCTACATTTTCTTTGAAAACGAGGCTCCCGCTCGAGCGTTGGCGTCGTGCTCCATCCTTCTCCCTCCCCCTCGCCTCTTCGCTCCTCCCCCCCCTTCCACTGTTGTAGGGGCTGCGCCAACTACGCGCGGCAGGTAGGGAAGGCATAGCCCCAAGAAGGGGGTACGATCGGAGACGAAGAGGGCGGGCACCGAGGGTTTGGGCTATACGTGCTGCAGGGCACGCGAGCAGATGAGAGCGAACAGTCTTAAAATGATTGTTGTTGTTGTGGTTGTGGTTGTGGTTGTGGTTGTGGTTGTGGTTGTGGTTGTGGTCGTTGTTGTTGTTGTTGTTGTTGTTGTTGTTGTTGTTGTTGTTGTTGTTGTTGTTGTTGTTGTTGTTGTTGTTGTTGTTGTTGTTGAGAACTCATTTCTAGAGAATAGATTGATCTCCGGAAACGGTTCTGGGCACTCTCGCCTCGACGCCGGCTACATTTTCTCTAAAAGCGAGGCTCCCGCTCGAGCGTTGGCTTGAGCCTAGATGTGGGCCCTTGGAGGCCCAGCTACGACAACAACGGCTCCCTCTCGACACTTCCTCACAATTTACCCCGAGACGCCCTGGCCAGAGAGGCCCCCGAACTCAGGAACGTTGCTCTCGCTCGAGACTTCCTCGCAATTCAACCAAGTTGGCGGAGGCCCGGACACGGCGACAAGGGTTCCCTTTCGATATTTCTCCATCGGTATTCCGAGAGCCCCCTGGCCAGAGAGGCCCCCGAACTCAGTCAGTGGCCGACAAGGAAGAAATTCCCTTCGAAAGGGGCTGCAATCGAAGACGAAGTGGGCGGGTATCGAGGGTTGGGGTATTCGGAATGTAAGACACGCGTGCCAGTAAGAGCGAACAGTCTTAAAAAGATGATTGCTGTTGTTGTTGATGCCGTTGGCTTCGCCGCCGACCCGCCCGCGACCCGCCACGCGACCCGCCCCACGACCCACCCCCCGACCCACTCGGCGACCCACCCGCGACCCACACACATTGCTTTGACGTAGAAATCGGCGCGCTTACTGCGGGCTCGTGGTTACATCGATCCAAGTTCGGCGCTTGCGGCGGGCTTCATCAGAGCCTCGTAGATTGCCGACGACCCCGCCGCCCCCTCACTCTTGTCCGCAACTGCGAGTGCTACGTATATGTACATATACACATATGTATATACACATATACATATATATAGAGAGAGAAGGAGAGAAAGAGAGAAATAGAGAGAGAGAGAGAAAGAGAGAGAAGACACGAAAGCACGAGCGCAATGACGAGGTGTGCATCATGCACGTAGCCATGTATGTGATTTAGTGCAAGGCATTGTAGTGCAACCCAGTGTTGATGCCCTGCCAGGTATGTGTGCAGATATGCAGGCCGATCTGCACGTGTGCAGATATCTGTGAACACTGGTCTTCGATCCTCGACCATGGGGGACGGAGCTGGCGGATGACGACGCCGCCGCCAGCGGCAGCGGCGGTCGCGACCACGACCACGCGGCGACTTGCGGCGGCCACGGCCACGGCCACGATTGGCTCCTCGACCCCCCGGGGAGGGGCCGGCGCTGTCCGCGCAGGACGCGTGCCTGCAGGGCGCGCACCTGCAGGGCGCGGACCTCGCCGGCTGCTGCCTGCGCAACGCCAGCCTGCGCCGCGCGCGGCTCGACCAGAGGAGCGGCGGCCCCCGCGTCGCGTCGCGCCTCGGGTGCCGACCATCAGAAGGAGCCGAACTCTATACACCGACGCGTTCTCCGGCCCCGCACTGGAACTCGCACAGGGAAGCGGGTCCTGGTGTATACGGGATCCGGGTGCATACATTTGTTTCGTTTTTTCCCCCGGGAAAGCGGGGACAAAGTATACACCACACCACCCCGATGTCGCCCCCGACCCTAAAAAAGTCCTGGGATTGAAAAGCAGCCCGCCGCTGGCAATGTATATGCTCCAGTTTCCGACATCAGATCCTGGCGCCGCAGTTTTTGTTGTTCCCCCCAGCGGGCGATTCTGCCCTGTTTCGGGCCCTGGGGCCATCATAGATCGGTCTGGCTCGGACAATGCTGCAGTACCCCATCTTTCTGCCAGAATGATGGGGCCTGGGGCCCCAGTGGTGATTTATCGCGATGCTGACTTTTGTTCCCCAGCGTGGGAACTCAGGGACGCTATCGGTACTGCTACCCTTGATAAGTCGCCGCGGCTGGTTTTGACTCGAGATGCTGGCCAGGACGCACTCCTGGAAAGGTCAGGGGGAGCAGCGGTGTCGATACCTTTCCGCCCCCCCCTGATCATGATACCAGTAACGGCGCAAGCGCACGTTTTCGCAGGTCCGCGCGGTTTTTCGGATCGGCGCTGGGCTTTCCTGGCGGCGCCTCCGGCGCCGCACATGGCACGCCAGGGAGAGGGGCCCAGCGCCGATCCAATATAATTCCGCGCGGACCTCCGAAAGTTTTGGTTGTGCAGCTGTTTACTCCAGATTTCGTAATAAAAGGGAGGGGGTCTGGACCCTCCAAGACAAGCCATTTCAGACCTCCCCCGCGGGAGAACCCTCCAAAACATCGTCCCCAGACCCCCCCAGGCCCTCCAAGATAGCCTGGAAGAGACCCCCCCCGAAATGAGACCCCCCTCCCTTTATTACGAAATCTGGAGTATCATTCTAAATGACCGAGCGTCGGCGGTCGAGCCTCGAGGATCGAGCATCGAGCAGCTCTGATGGGCCGGAGGAGCGGGCACAGGTGGCCCAGGATACTCAGGAGCGCGGCTGCGTCGGGGGTCGGGGGTCGAGGATGAGGGGTCGGGGGGCGGCGCCTTCCGGCAGGGTGGGAAGGGGCCCTCGAGGGTAAGTGTAGGTCGGGCGTGTCTTTCTAGAGGGGGGGGGAGTATGCAACGATGGTAACATGTCAGTTTGGGGGCGATGTTTCGTGCTCGTTTGGTTTCTGCTCGTGTGTATGTTTTTATATGTCTTCCAAACTCCGCATGGTGGGAAGTGGCCCTCGCGAGGGTAATGGTAAGTCGGGCGTGTCTTTCTAGAGGGGAGGGGGAATGTGCAATGATGTTAACATATTAGTTTGGGGACGATGTTTCGTGCTCGTTTGGTTTCTGTTTGTGTGTATGTTTTCATTCGTCTTCCAAAATCCGCCTGCAGGAGGGCGTGCCCGACCTAAGGGTAATTGTGAATGACGGTTGAGAAATTCTGGCGGGGGGTCTCGTCGCGCAGAGGCGCCCTGGGCAATGATTCACAAGTTGGGTTCCAGGCCCGGCCTGATCGTGGGCGTCGCCGTCTTTTTCAAGATTGCCCGATCCTCATCTCCGAAAGTTCTCCCAGCGACCGATATTTGTTATCGAAATCTCCCCCCCCGTGTTTCCTCTGAACCGTCACCCTGCGCTGCAGCTGGTGCCCTGGAGAATCCGTGGTCCAGGGCTTGTTTCCAGCAGGACCTGTCCTTCAGGCCTATTCGAGGATCGAGGGCTTAGAGTCGAGGATCGAGGGTTTAGAGTCGAGGATCGAGGGTTTAGAGTCGAGGACCTGTCCTTCAGGCCAATTCGAGGATCGAGGGTTTAGAGTCGAGGATCGACGGCTTGCGGTCCGTCCGGGCCTCCTGGGCGGCTCGCGTGGCCGCGACTGGACACAGCTCGAGCAGCTGGCCCGCATGGGCCATGGGGGTGTCCAGTCCAGGCACTAACGTTGAGCGAAGGTTGGCTTGGGGGGCCAATGCTAAGCGACCGTGGGAAGAACCTGCGCAGGTGACAGGAGAACCGTTGAGATGCATGGCATCCTGCGGTGCTGCCCGCGCCCCACGACGACACCGACCTCGTTGACCTTCGTCCTCGCCGCCCCTCCTCTCACAACTCTGGGCCTCCTGGATGGGGTCGGAGGATCGCGCCGCACCGCCGATGCTCCTCCTCCTCCCTCCTCCTCCTCCTCCTCCTCCTCCCTCCTCCTCCTCCTCCCTCCTCCTCCTCCTCCTCCGCAGGAGCGAGGACCCGCAGCACCTGAACACTTCGACCTCGCGCGCGACGAGGTCAAATACTCCCCCGACGAGGACTGCAAAGAGGAGAATGCCGATGAGCGTTGCCAAGGTGACGGTGCTGATCCTGAGGGAATGGGTACCCCGCCCGCTACTGCCGCCACTGAGGAACCCATGAAAGAAGAGCCACCACAGCCGTCTCTCGCCGACCTGTCGAATTTCGTGAAATCCATGGAAGCTGACAGGAAAAAGGAAGCCATCGCCACTAGGACTGAGACTGACACCGCCCTGCAGAAGCACGACCAGGCCATCAGCGAGCTGAACGAGAGGATGGACCAGCAGGCGTAGGAGACGCGGAAGGCGATCGAGGATGCCCAGGGCTCCGCGGTCCTCTTGCAGCTTGAGGCGGGGCTCGAGGAGAAACTCGACCAGAAGTTGAAGGCCCTGTCCTCCTCGCTGTCGACTTCATGCTCCTGCGGGACGCCCTCTCGGCCGCCCTCCTCGGTGGGCTCCGCGACCTCTGCCGCCGCCAGCATCCTCACGAGGGACGCCTACGAGTCGGACCCGTGCAAGGTTTGGATTGGCGGCTTTCCGAACAAGGTGCTCGCCACGGTCATGCGCACCCACGCCAAAGCTGTCATCGAGGCGATGCCCCGGGACATGGCCATTCACGCCGAGGTCAAAGCATATAACCTGAACCGCAGCTACTCTATCAAGTTCGGATCCAACCTGCACGCTCGAACGTTTCTAGATAAGGTCCGCGCTGAAGGTCTGTCCTGGACTGACCGATGGCAACGACGGCACCCTCTTCGAGCACGGATGGATGCATCGCTTGACGTCCGCAAGGAGAATCGCTTTTCTCGGCCAGCTCTGGCAGCAGTTTGTGGATCACCTGAAGCGTACCAACCTGCTAGACCTCAGCTGCATGAAGATCGGAAGCAACCCGACGAAAGGTGTGCTGTTCATGGCTTGGGGAGAAGACGTATGGGTACTCTTCACGCTGGCCGAGAGCTCCAACGAACAGATGGACATTCACCCCGAAATGGACAGCCTGAAGACCTTCGATATCACGCAGGAGATGGCCAACTCCTGGATCCGCATTGCCATGAGCTAGGACATTCACACGCCGCACGTGCAGTTCCCTGCGGACGACACTGACTCAGACGTCCAGAGCACCGCGCCAAGTCCTTTTGGCTTTTCTACCTCATCCTGTGCTGCGACCTGCGGTACGAGCTCCACTTCTTCCCCTCCTGGATTGACTGCAGGCCTGAAGGCCCAGGTCAGCGCTGCTCTGCCTGCCGCATCCACACTTTGCACGCCCCCGAGTGCACCTGCGAGAAGGAATCGCAGAGCTACTCTCTCTTCTTCGGGGTCTCCGACGCCTTGTACACCGGTGGGGTCGGCCGTGCAAGCATGGGGGCGAGCTAATTCTGATAGTGCAGATGATGGCACCTCCTCTGCCTCTTCCTCTCTGTGCTCGTCTGGGTCGTCCAGCAGCTGCGCGGCTAGTTCAGTTCCGTTTCAGATACGACATAAGTTTTCAGCAGTCCCTTGGAACTCCCGAGGTCTTTTCGGTTCCACCAGTACACCGATCGAGGTTACTAGAGCGAAACACCAGCTTCGCACGAAACTTTTTCAGGGACACTCAGCTATCGGGCCCCAGGAGACCCATGGTAATCGCGAGGACATGAGACTGCTTCAGCATGATATTCAAGGTTCACGCTTCCTCGGCACCTTCCATCAGCGTGAAGGAACTGGAGGCTGCATGATTGCTATTCACCCATCTCTGTTCCAGATGTTCTCCACTCACTCTCATCATGTGCACATCCAGGGGGCGCCTCCACAGTCTTGTTCTCTCAGGGCCTCAAGGGACTCTGCAGGTCATCAACGTGCATCTCAACCCCAGCTCCGTCGTCGGCAATAATCCGAGGTTCGCAGTGTATTCGCAATGTTTTCCTTCCGCAAGGTCGAGGTTTATCTGTCATAATGGGTGATTGGAACTTCCCCTGCCTGGGCGAGAGTCGGGCTCACAGCGACGGACGCATAGTGGTGCCGAAGAACGCCCTCGCCAGCGAGTTTGCCCGCAAGTTTCCCGATCTGCTTGAGGTAGATCAGCCCGAGTTTACGCATGCTGCGCACGTTCCTCAGCAGGGAGTCAGTCTAGGTCGAATTGATAGGAACTACACCAACCTCTGCCCTGCCCAAGCCCTGGACCTCTTCCCCAACAGCCTCGTCTTGGGCATCCCCGACAAGAAAGGCAACCCGAGTGACCACGACCCCGTCTGCCTTACGCTTACTCCGCCTGGGTCTCCTGGGAATGGGAACATGCCATCTTGGGTATCGAGGCATCCTTGGTTTAAGCAGGAGATGGAGAAGCTCTTGGGGAACCATGGCTCGTTTCACCAGGATCTCCATGTTGTCTTGCAGGAAGCCCGGGATCTGTTCCGAGGAGCCGCCATGCAAGTCAGAGACAGATTGGCGCTGCGGCCAGCTCAGAGTACCGACGAGCGGATCACATGGCCGCTCAGTTTAATGATTGCTGTTGTTCAGGGACGCGCTGAGCTGGTTGCTCGCGCTGTCCGATGCTACCCGCAGCTTGGCCAATGCGTGCAAAGCGTTGGCGCTACTTGGACAGGCGAGCGTCCATTTCACGAGCATATGCGAGGTCTCTCCCTCCAGAGGATCCAGGAACGCCAGGCCGAACTCGAGGCGACCTCCATGGGCCCCCAGAAGAAGGCCACTCTGAAAGCTCGGCTGGAATCCAACACCTCCGCCTGGGGAGGTTTCAGAAAAGAGGTTCTCTGACTGGCGTCGTGGATCCTGCGGGGCAGCATTTACGCGACCCTGATGAAGTTGGGCTCGCTCTTGCACAGCACCGGGGGCAAGTTCGCAAAAGGTTCCCTGGAGCTTGTCATGTTCGCGAACATCTGAGGCCGCATGTTCGGCAGTGTCCGCCAGGCATCAATTGGACTCTAGAGCCCCCCGAGGTCCACCACACCGTCTCTAACATGTGCGACAGCGCCCCTGGGCCCGACGGGGCCCCGTGCGCCTGCTGGGCCCGCGGAGGCCCATTGGTCACCAATCTTATCCTCGAGGTTTACCCTCTGGTTCTGAGAGGCGAACTTCCTGGGGGCGATTTCAATTGCGGAATGGTTTTGTTTCTGGCAAAAGGCGAACAGGCTTCGGACGCTCTGGGCACAGGCATCTTTCGAGCGGCTGAAAGCACTAGGCCCATCACCCTCAGCAACACCTGCAATAAGATCGCCCCCGCGGCGATCAACGTTCCGATGGGCCTGATGCGTGAGCAAACTTGCCTCGACGCCCAGAAGGGTTTCATTAAAGGCAGGAGCATGACTAACAATATCTTAGACATCGAGGCAAAAACGTTCCATTGGTACTGCCAGCATTTGTATCGTGATACGGGTTTTGTCGCCTTCGACGTGAAGGCCGCCTTTCCCAGCCTCCTCCACAGCATGATCTCCTGGATCCCCCTCGCCACGAATGCCCCCCCCCCCCCCCCACGTCCGCGCGGCCGCGTCGGATCTGCACCTGCGCGTGCGCATTGATATTTTCTTCTGCGGTCTCCGTGGGCACTTTTATTGGCAGGGGCGGGGAATCAAACAAGGGTGCCCGCTTTCTGGATCAATATTTGCGTTGGCCATGGACCCGATCCTCAGGCTTATGTGCTGAAAAATCCCCCCGCGCCTCGGCCTCGCGCGGGCCTTCGCCGACGACGTCGGGATCGTCTCCAGGGACATGTATCCGGCCCTCTCGCTGGCTCTGGAGGTTTGGGTTGTTGCTGCAGGTGCGGCGGGGCTTATTTTGCATCTCAAGAAGACGAAGCCGGCCCTCGGTCAATGAGTTTAAGAATAAGCTCCGCGAGATTGGCGCCCGCAGGGATAATTTCACTCTCGCTTCTGCTGCCCGAGATCTTGGGGTGGTTCTTGGGTGGGAAGCTAAGTCGTTGAGCTGGGAAGGACCTGTGCGGAAGATGGAGGGAAGGGCCAGAGGTATCAAGAGCTTGTTCCTGGGACTCATCAAGAGCACAGCCAGGTTTAATGTGTCTGGATTATCCTGCCTCACGCTCATCTGGCAATTCTGCCTGCCCACCAAATTCGCTCGGGACCGTCTACGCGAGGCTGGACAGGCTCTCATCGACGCGCCGAGAAACGCCATCCCGACTGTGCTGTTGCAAGACCTCACCTCCGTGGGAGCCAGAGTTCAGATGCGCGATCTCGAATGTTTGTGCCGTGCTGCGATGTTTCGCCTCGCTCATTATTCGTCCTCGTTCTTCGCCATCCGACGCGAGCTCGAATTCGCCGAAACCGATGAATGTGTTATCCTTTGGAGAAGACACCCCCTCATCCAGACATGCTCCATCATGGCCCTAATCGAAAACTACGACGCGGTTACTGCTCCCCCTCGGCTGCCTTCTCTGACGCCCCCGCTGCAAAGAAACGTTGATCGCCCACTGAGCTCTGGCCGCCCCCTCGCCGCACGGTGCACGATTAGCAAGCGCATCCAATATTTCACCCGTCTCCCCCCCGCGGCCCCAGAAGTAGATGCGTGTATGATGTATCTGGGGCGGCTTGGTCAGATCGCCCCCCAGCACGTTGTCATAGCATCGGTCCGTGCCCTGCGTAATAGTTGGTGCACCTCTCGCATGTTTCGAGAGGCCACTTTACGTTGCAGGTGGTGTAAATCTGCCGTGGGGGGAGATGACATACAGCACTATTATAGTTGCCCCGTCCCGGAGGAAATTTTCCGAATGCCCCCGTCGCTCCCCGAGAGTTTTCAGGATGCCTCGGCGGTGCCTCGGATCCTCGTTCTCCCCCTTGGCCCCCTCCCTGCCCCTGCCCTGCTCTCCGTCGGCCTCCTTCATGATCCAGCCTATGCCCTGATTTGTGCATGTCGTGAGCGACGGAGATCCGTTGCCGAGTTCCACGCTGTCGCGCGGGCTCGCCTCCGCTGGGCAGCGCAGCGTGGAGGCCCGTCCGTGGCCTCTCTGCTGCGGCCCGCCGCCGCCGCCGCCGCCGCCCCCCCCGACGCCTTCCGAGGCCGCTCGCTCCTCCTCCTCCTCCTCCTCCTCCTCCCCCATCCTCCTCCTCCTCCTCCTCCTCCTCCTCCCCCCCCCCCCCTCCCCCGTGGGGCCCGTTTGGGGGCCTCTCGCCGGCGCGGCTCGGCGTGGGGCCCGCACTTTTTCGCGCCGGTGGCGCCGACGCACCGCCGACGCGGCGCGATCCTCGACCCCGGCTGCTCTTAAGTCGGGCATGTCCTTCTACAGGGGGAAATTCAAAAATATTTAAAAAATAGTATGAGGACTATGTTTTGAGTTTTTTTGGGGCATCTTTTCAATATTTTCTGAGTATTCTTTATTGTTCGACGAAAATCCCCTGTGGGGGACAGGCCCTGCCTAAAGCCATTCGGACCCTATCTGGGGGGCCTCCGCTCGCCGCCCCGCCTCTCTAGCCCAGGAGAGAAAAAAGCACACAGACACAATGAATCGTCGATTCCACAGAATATATAGGGAAAATATGGGAAGTGGGGGGGACAACGAAAACCCATAAAATATTGGAACATATGGGGAATACGGTTAGTTGTGTGTACTTATTTGTGTGTCCCAGGGCCCCTTCAATAACCTCTCTCTGAAGGGCTGCGCCCTCTGCCGCCAGGCCCGCAGGCTGAGCCATCCTGTGGCTATGTTGGGGCACTGCTGAGGCCGCTCGAAGGCATCGTGGCGCCTCGCGGGCCACGCCGAGGCGGCCTTGGGCAACTTTCGAGAGATCTGGGGGCCTCCTCCTCCTCCTCCTTCTCCTCCTCCTCCTCCTCTTTTTCCTGCATTCAGGCTTCCTGGGGCCGTCTTGAAGCCAGCTCAAGCGCGTCTTGGGCCGGCTCGATTTTTAGGAAACCCGAGGTCATGCGAGCATTCATCAACACATCGAACGAACGTCAACGATTTTGGCCTCTTCGGGTCCTGTTGGAGGTTGTCTAGAAGCTCTCGTTGGCCGTCTTGAGATCCTCTTGGTCTTGGGACCGTTTTGGGCCGTCTTGGGACCAGCATGGGCCCTCAAGGAGGTATCGTGGACCGTCTTGGCGAACGTGGTGGCCTGCCTGGGCAGTCCTGGACGCCATTTTGGGTATCTTGGACGCTTTGGAGAAGACGAGGGGCGCGTCGGGTCGCCCAGGGAACCGCGGCAGTGGGGGGGACGCACGCGAAGGGCTGTGGCGATCAGTGGCGGGGCTTTTGAGCTGTTTTTATTGAATCTTGACTCTTTCAGGGCGCTCCGTCGGGCAGAGCAGTTTTTCGTGATCTCGCTCCGCGGGCAAACAACAGGCTAAAAAGCCAGGGGGCGCTGCCGATCCTTGTGGGTGACCCCCCCCCTCCCAGAAAAGGGAGACCCTACCAGACAGCACTCGGCATACTAGTACCACGCAGCAGCGTGCCAGAAGGGGGGCACGGTGGCGGATTCGAAACGTTGACGGCGGGGGCGGTGGCGTCGGACGACGGCGGCATCGACGACGGCGGCGGCGACATCGACGACGACGGCGGCGGCTTCGGCGGCAACTACGGCCGACGGCCCAGGGCCGACGGCGAGGACGGCGGCGGCGGCGTCGTCTCTGGACACCCGACCGACGGTGTGTTTTGTTCCAGCGCGTGTTCCAAGAGGCCCCACACTCTCCCCCGGGAGTAGATTTTCGCTCTGGGTCAATGTTCGATGGCCCCGGGGCCCGCCCAGAGAGGCCGCGATCGAGGATACTCTCCCGGACTGCTCAAGCAACAAGCATGATATACCGGCGAGAGGCGACGACGACGACGCCGACAACGACGACGATGACGACGCCGACGACGACGTCGTCGACGAACGACCACGACCACGACGACGACGATAACGACGACCGACGAAACGCGGGCGGGGCCAACCGATCGCCAGCGGAGGACGCACCTCGCGGGCGCGCGCATGCGGGGCGCGCTGCTTGACGGCGCGCGGATCCCACCCTGGCCCGTACCGGCGGATGGCTGCGCGGAGGCACCACTGTGCGGCGGGCCGCCGCCGCCGTCGCCGCCGCCGTCGACGTCGGCGCCGTTGCAGATCTCGCGGCGCCGCCGTTGTCGCCGTTTTGTAGTCGCCGCCGCCCGCCATCCTCGTCGTCGTCAGCGTCAGCGTCCGCGTCGTCGTCGTCGTCGTCGTCGTCGTCCTCGTCGTCGTCGTCGTCGTCGTCAGCGTCGTCGTCGTCAGTGTCGTCGTCGGAGGTCGTCGTCAGCGTCGCCGTCGTCGACCGTCGTCGTCGTCGCCGTCGTCGTCGTCGTCGGCGGCGGGGGCGGTGACGACGTCGGCCACGCGGTCGTTTTGTTTGATTTCTCACCTTTGTGGCGTCCCGAGGGGCGTCCTCGTCTCCTGGACAAAACGTGCTCCAGGAGAGGTCCAAGGGGCGTAGGAGAAAAACGAGCAGGAAGAACGGAGAGGAGGAGGAGAGGGAGTGGGAGGATCAGGACACTTAGCAGGATGATGAAGAGGAGGAGGGGAAGGAGGAGGGGGAGGAGGAGGAGGAGGAGGAGGAGGAGGAGGAGGAGGAGGAGGAGGAGGAGGAGGAGGAGGAGGAGGAGAGGAGGAGCAATAGCAGCAGCAGAAGGAGCAAGCAGGAGGAGGCACAGCAGGAGGAGGATATGGAGCAGGGGGTCTTTCCGCCTCCTGCCTCCGCTCTCCTGCCCGCGACCGCCCGAGAGCTCGCTGGAGCAGGACGACGCTAGCGACGACGGCGGCGGCAACGACGACGGCACCGACGACGGCAACGGCGACGGCGACGACCATGATGGCGACGTCGACGACGACCCCGCGCTCCCGCCGCTCGACGACGACCCCTCGACGACACTGGCGGCGACGGCAGCGTCGACGACCACCCCGCGTCGACGACGGTGCGACGACGCCGGCGGCGACCTCGTCGACGACGACGACGACGACGGCGACGACGACGACGTCGACGACGACGACAGCGACGACGACGACCCCTGGCCGCCCGCAGCCGCCGAGCGACGCCCCCGCGCTGCTCGGCGCCGCCGCCGGCGACGAGGACCCCGCGGCCGACTCCCTGGCGGGGCCCGCGCTGGAGCCGGACGAGGCGCGCTGGCTCCCTCGGCGTCGCGTCGATCGGCCGCCGCGGCGCGCGCGCGCCCGCGCTGCGGAGACCCTGCACTTCTCTGGTTGACCCAACAGGGGGTCCAGCGAAAAGGGGGTGGTGCAATAGATTTGGTGCAATAGATTTGTGGGGTCGCAATAGATTCGGGAGGCGCAATACATTCCGGTGCGCAAATGTGCTGCTGCGGTCTCGCGTGCAACACATTCGTTGCAATGCAATGCAATACAAGTCTGCAAATGCATTGCGCCAAGTCTATTGCACCACCCCCTTTCACTCTGACCCCTTTTTGGGTCAACCAAAACTTCGGTCGTTGAAAGCAGGTGTTTTTGGGATCTGCAGATCCCAGTCTACTTTCGGCGCCTTCCTCCCTCAAGAGTCGAGCGGTTTTCCCTCCTCCCCCCGCTTCTTCAGGGGAGTTCTCTTCCGACTGCCACACTCGCCAGCTGCGCCGGGCCATTCGGCCCAGAGGCGCCGCTCTCCTGGGCGGAGTGCAGCCGCTCTCCTCCTCCTTTTTACTTCTTCTTATTACCACTATCATTCGTAGCATGATTTGTCTTCCTCTCTTTCCTGTTATTCGTGTTACTAGTATGTTTTTTGTTGGTTTTCTTATTGTAATGTCAATTCTTGTGATTACTCGTCTTCTCCTCCTCATCCTCTTCACGGGGTGGGCGGAGGCCCCCTCCACTTCCGGCGCCTTCCCACTTCATGCCCCTGCCCACGTCCTCCCACCCCCGGGCTCCCCCTCGAGGCCGAGAGCTGCGCCCCCGAGAGGCCGACGCCCAGCTCGCGGCGCGACGGCCCCGCCGCGCGACCCTCGCTTGCGCCGGCCGCGGTGCGGCGCGTCGCCTCGCGCCGTGGAAGAACCTATCGGGGAACTTCGGGCCGGACGGAAGGGGGGGGAATATGGAGTTGGATGGAGGAGGAGGAGGAGGAGGAGGAGGAGGAGGAGGAGGAGGAGGAGGAGGAGGATCGGGCCGAACGAAAGGGGGGGATAGGGAAAGGGGGGGTTACGAGATCTGCTGCATGCAGCTGGTTTCGGCCCCGCCGCCGGGCCCCTTCCTCGATACATGGGCGCCTCCCGGCGCCGGGAGGCGCCGGGAGAATCAGCCACGTGAGCTGATTCTCAGACCCCCTCTTTGCTATCCCCCCCTTTCGCCCGGCCCGAGAAATGACAATGCCATAAACACATAAACGTAAAGACTCGGAGGTGCGCGCGAATTTTTCGGACCCGCGCGGCGCTGGACCCCCCTGGCGGCGCGCTCCGCGCGCCAGGGAGGGGGGTCCAGCGCGGATCCGAGAAGTCCGCGCGGATCTCCGAGTTTTTATGTATATCATTTGTCGTTCTCCTAGAATCGTGACAAACGGTGTTTTGCCCTTTCGGGTTTCTGTGGGGCTCTTATCAGCTGCACGCAGGAGTGGCCCAGAGTGCCCTTTGGTGCGCGGCTTTTGGGAGGCCGCGGGGGGACCAAACATGAGCGCGCAAGACGCTACTATTGCATCGGGTTCGGCGATCGGGGGGGACCCAGCCCGCACCCAAGGTCACTCCGGCGAAGGGTCACTCTTATACGTGTAGTCGAGAGAGGGGGACATAGAAGGGGCGGGCCTTCTCAGAAGAATCACGACGGACGGTTTTCGCTGTTTTGGGTCTCTGAGGGCCCTTCGAGCCTGTTTTTGTTAACGTCTGGGCGATAACGGCCGTGATTGGTCCTCCCCCTCCGCCCCCCCCCGCGCATCACGTCACGCTATTTTGCCCATATGTGCAAAGATTTCCTACAGATGCTTCGAGGATTTCCGAAGATTTCGGGCGGCCCCGCGCCGTGACGTGATGGTATCGCGAAGGGGGTCTGGGGAGGGCGTGGTCTGCGATCCGTGTCGTTGGGGCTTGGGGGGCACCATGTTGCCCTCGTCGGGCCTCCTCGGGCAGTTGGGGAGAGCTCTGTCGAGGTGTTTGCCCGCCCCCCAGGGTGCGGGTTGCAAGCCGCACCCCTTGCAAACCACAACCTTCGGAGTGGCCGACTGAGACCCTGGCGCCGCATTTTCTTCACACCGGGTGATTTGGGCAGCAACTCGTGATAGCCTGGTGTGTCCTCGAAATTGAGTCTTTGGAGTGCACTTGCGTGCGTTAGAGTCTGGCCATCGATGAGAAGGCTTCGACTTAACTTAGCATCCATCCAGCGTCGATCAGCGTCGGTTAGCGTCGATACGCAAGAGCCAGCACGATAACATGGGAGTCGGCGGCGATCGAGGGGGGGAAGTGACAAGGAGAAGGTCTGCTCATAAGGCGACGGGACTTCTCAGAAGCCCTCGCGTTTTCTGAGAGGTATTCTGTGCACTCAGGGAAGGAAGGCTCAACTAATCTTCTCAGGAGGCCGGGGGACTTCCCAGCCTTCTGAGAAGGCCCGCCATTTCTCATTTCCCCCCCCCCTCGACTACACGCAAGAGTAACCGTTTGCCAGAGGGACTTTTTGGGGTCCCCCCGATCGCCGAATCGTGATGCAGTAGTAGCGTCCTGCACGCCTGTGTTTGGTCCCCCCGCGGCCTCCAAAAAAAACCACTCACCAAAGGTCCCTCTTACCCATGGCCACTCTTGCGCGCAGCTGCTTAGAGCCCACGGAAGCTCAAAACGGCCAAACACTGCCCGTACGTAAAACGAAACATTCGGAGGCCCGCGCGGATGTCTTGGATCCAGCGCGGCTCCGAGAATTCCGCGCGCACCTCCGAGTTTTATGTTAATGTCAGTGTTCGTTCCCCCCAAATGGTCAGAACTAGTCAAACGTACCCCCAAATGTTCAAAAATGATAGAAAAATCGACCCCCCGACTATTCTTGTCGACTACTTTCGAACCGATTCCTCCCGTGGAGGGGATCCTTCCCCGACCCCGCGGCGCGAGGGGCCGACTCGGAGGCGCCGCGCCGCCGCCGCGGCCGGCGCAGCGAGCGTCGCGCGGCGGGGCCGCCGCGCCGCGAGCTGGGCGTCGGCCTCTCGGGGGCGCAGCTCTCGGCCTCGGGGGGGAGCCCGGGGGTCGGAAGACGTGGGCAGGGGCCTGAGGTGGGAAGGCGCCGGAAGTGGACGGGGCCGCCACCCACCCCCCGAAGAGGACGAGAAGAAGGCGACGAGTAACAAGAATAGCAACACCAATAACACCAATGATCCAAACTGAATAATGAATAATGATAACAATAGTACGAATAATAATATCAATAATGCTGACATAATAATAATAATGGTAATAATAATTGTAATACCAAGAATGATATTAATACTAATAATAATAATAGTAATAATACTACTAATAATACTAATACTAATAATAATACTAATAATAATAATAATAATAATAATACTAATAACAGTAATATTAATAATAATAAAAATAATCATAGTAATAATACTAATAGTAATAATACTAATCATCATAACAAAAAGAAGAGGAATGGAGATGAGAAGCGTCAGCCTCGGCAGCGCAGCTGGGCCCCGAGGGCGTGCAGCCGACCCTCGCTCGCCGCCGCAGGAGGCTCCCGTGGGTGGCCGCGGAGGGCCAGTCCCGGCCCCCCCCGACGTCGCGATGTTTCACGACGTGGACCCACGGAACAATCGCCTACGTCTACGTTCCCAGACCCCCTCGAGTTATGAAAAAATCACGACGGGAGGTTTTTCATTATTTTTGGCCTCTGGGGGCCCTTACCAGCCCTCGGGACCGTCAAAAAACGACTTAGGACGAAAAACCGGTCCCGGGGGATGGGTCCAGACCGCTGGGGGTCGACGTCATGAAAAATTCATGACGTCGGGGGTCTGGGTTCACGGACCGAGCACTGGCCGGTGACGGCAAGAAAGAAGAGCAGTGGCCCTATGCCCGTGAGAAGCGTTCTCTGGGGACGTCGGCCCCCAGAGGTCTCGACCAATGCCCCGGGACCGGTCTTCTCTCCTCCTCCTCCTCCTCCTCCTCCTCCTCCTCCTCCTCCTCCTCCTCCTCCTCCTCTTTCTCCCCCTCCTCCTCCTCCCCCTCCTCTTTCTCCCCCCTCCTCTTTCTCCTCCTCCTCCTCCTCCTCCTCCTCCTCCTCCTCCTCCTCCCCCTTCTGTGCCAGACCGGCTGCGCCCTGATCTGACTGGGATCGTAGATGCCACAAGAGAGGGGGCGCGGCCCCCAGAGGTCTCGACCGCCAGAGGTCTCGACCAGTGTCCCAGTCCCGAGGGCCGGCAAGGGCCCCCGGAGGCCGAAGGTCAGCGCAAAACCTGGCGTCGTGATTTTGGTCATAGCCCGAGCGGGGCTGGGACCCAGACCCCCTCGAGTTATGAAAAAATCACGACGGGAGGTTTTCCATTATTTTTGGCCTCTGGGGGCCCTTACCGGCCCTCGGGACCGTCAAAAAACGACTCAGGACGAAGAACCGGTCCCGGGGAAAGGGTCCAGACCGCTGGGGGTCGACGTCATGAAAAATTCATGACGTCGGGGGTCTGGGGATCGTGCCCCGCTTCGGCCTCGAGGCCCTCACGGCGCGCCCCGGCTCCAAGAGCGCCGCAGACGCAGAGTGGGGTCCGGGGCTTCGGCCGTGCTTTTTCTCCCGCGGTGCCGCATGTTTCTGCAACGCGTCGTTTTCCGTTGTGCTTCCTCGGGGCATCCTACGGGAATTCTTTGCCAGGGCAGTGATTACGCAGACCCCCTCGGGTCATGAGAAAGTCATGACGGTAGGTTTTGCGCTAGTTTCGGTCTCTGGGGGCCCTTAGCGGCCGTCGGGACTGTCGAAAAACGATTCGGGATGAAAAACCGTTCCCAGGGAATGGGTCCAGACCGCTGGGGGTCAATGTCAGGAAGAAATGATGACGTCCGACTTATCGATTCGTTTCTTCGTTCTCCTGCTAAGGGGGCGCAGGAGGAGGATTTTGCCGCTGCACTGCTCTGCCCCGATTCTTCGCGGTCCTCCTGGCAGCCAGCCAGGCAGCCGTCGAGCACGGCACTTGAAACAGACGAGCACCGCACAGGACTGGACATACATGCCGTGCTGCCCGCACCGAGATGCGGGCCACACGACAGGGCCTTGCCCCCGTGGCCAGGACCAAGAGACTCGCCCGTCGGGCGTCAAATAAGAGCAGCGCCAACGGTCCAGGGCCATGCCCCCGTGGCGCGCTCAATGCACGAACGGGGAACGCAAGGAGATCGTGCTCCGCGCTCCCTGTTCGGGGCAGGGGGCGCCGGAGCCGTGCTCCGACGCCCAACCTACCCACCACCTACTCCATAGGTGGCCGCTGGCGACGAGAGCAATTTTCTCTCCCCTTGGCCCCTACGGGCAAACAATGGTGACGATCGGGCTGCTACCCGCCTGTTTTCCTGGGAAGGGGACCCAGTGGCACAGGTGCCGGGCGCAGGAGGAGGAGGAGGAGGAGGAGGAGGAGGAGGAGGAGGAGGAGGAGGTGGAGGTGGAGGTGGAGGTGGGTGGAGGTGGAGCTGGAGGTGAATGTGGAGGTGGAGGTGGAGGTGGTGGTGGAAGTGGAGGAGGATGAGGAGGAGGAGGTCTTGGTATTTTTGTCAGATTTGTGTCCCTTAGGTTGCCCTTCGCTGGCTCTGACCCCCAGAAGTCTGACCGCCAGCAGCGGGCGAATGAGCTTCGGGCCTCGGGACCCTCACAGATCGGTCCGGCTGGAAATACGCTATAGATGCACGGGGTTTTGGCCTCCAATCGACATTCGCGACCTCGCAGGTCTAAATGTGAAGCCGCCGCAGATGATTCGAGTTTGCGGGCCACCACATAAGGAATCTGATTGCAATCGCACCAGGAAGCTGACTGCAAACAGTGTTCACCTTGTTGTAAAGTCGCCACACGGGGCATCCATGACAAGGCCACCGCAAAAGGAGATCCATTTCAACTCCGCCACGAACGGAATTTGTACGCAACGTGGGCTTTCAACATCTTCGTGTGAGGCCGCTACGAAAGGAATGCACATACATACAAGCATACATACATGTATACGTACATGCATACATACATGCATGCATACATACATAGTATATATAGCGTGTGTGTGAGGGCGCCACAGAAAACGACATTTGTGTTTAGGTCGCCACAGAAGGAATCGTTTGGCAACCCGCCACAGCGGTAATTTGACATCCATTTGCAATGCGCCCACAAGCGAAACAATATGGAATGCAACCATATAAAGCACTTCTACTTACGCAGGACGAAAGATTTTCTTGTCGAGGTGACAATGGCGATGAGGAGTTCGCGAGATAACATTGGCGCCGCCGAGTGGACGGCGTCAGGACGAGCTGCGTGCAGCAATCGGGAGGAGAGAGACGTACCCATGTTGAGTGGGACCCGCGTTCGCGGAATGTTGATGGGAGGGCTCGGGACAGCGCAGGGGATCCGCCGTAAAAAATAAGATTGCACCCGGATCCAGAAAATCCGAAATCGGATCCGCGCGGGCTTAAATCGGATCCACCGAGACATAAACCAACACCAAAATTGGATCCGCGCGAACTTTGTTGGATCGCGCAGCGGTTATCTCATATTCCTCTGCTCAAGACTTCAAACCGTCGTTCTGGGCCAAAGAGGAGCAACTTTCGTCCTGGGGATGTATGCGGGCCAGCACCACAGGAATCCATGTGCCAAGCCGCCACAACAAGAAATCTGTGCGTAGGCCGTCGCATAAAACATAATTTGATTGTGGGTCACCGCAGCAGGAAGTCACGTGTAAGGCCGCCAAAGAGAATCCTAGTTGAACTCTCCGCCAAAAGGAATCCAATTGCATTCCGCCGCCAAGAATCTGTATAGTCGCAGACAAAGGGGATATTCTTACATTCTCCCTCAAATGGGATCATGCTGGTATGCTGCGACAGAATCTAGCAGCAATCCGCCACAAGCAAATACATGTGTAACTCGTCACGAACTCTCGAAGGATGCGCTTGGTGTGATGCGATGAAACACTCATGGCACACACACATACGCTTGTCACAACCAGTATAAGCGTACTCAGGATGGCAACGGCCAACCGAAATGAAGAGTAGAGAACACGAACAATAATAAATAACGAGGGTGTAGACACACGCACGCACGCACGCACGCATACACAAGCACACACAAACACAAACACACAAAAACACACAACCACACCACCACCACCACACACACACACACACACACACACGCACGCACGCACGCACACACACACACACACTCTCGCACACACGCGCACACTCACACAGTGTACTCAAACACTCACTCACTCCCTCAAGCACACACGGTTACATCATCTCCACGGACGAAGATGTACGAGGAGGAGGAGGTGGTACCCGGAGTAGGAGGAGGAGGAGGTGCCCGGATGAGGAGGAGGACGCACCCGGAGTAGGAGGAGGAGGTGTAGGAGGAGGTGGAGGAGGAGGTGGAAGAGGAGGAGATACGAGCAGGAGCAGGAGGAGGAGAAGGAGGAGGAGGAGGAGGTGGAAGAGGAGGAGATGGAGCAGGAGGAGCAGGAGGGGGGAGGAGGTGGAGGAGGAGGAGGAGGAGGAGGAGGAGGAGGAGGAGGTGGAGGAGGAGGAGGATATGATGACGAGGAAGAGGAGGAGGAGGTGGAGGAGGAGGAGGTGGAGGAGGAGGTGGAGGAGGAGGAGGAGGACGAGGACGAGGAGGAGAGACGAGCGGGAGCCGACACGATAGGAGGAGGGAGGCCGGGAGGGGAGGGCGGCAGGGCCGCCGCCTTCCCCGCGCCCCCCCCCCTCCACTGCAGGCGGGCGACGAGGGGGAGCCCCGCCACGCCGAAGGGGACCCTCTCCTGGGCGGCCCGGCCGCCGCGCGGGGGGGCGCCGCGGCGCTGGAGTTCTGCAGGCCGCTTCACCGCGGCGGCCCGCGACGGCCGCCGCCGCCGCCGTGGGGCGGCGATTCTCAAGGGGCCCAGGGACACACAAATAGATACACAAATAGCAGGATTCCCAATCTTTTCCCACATTTCCTAGGTTTTCGTCTTCCCCCCCACGCCCCATATTCTCCCACATGTTCCCGGGAGTCGACCTGTGTGTTTCTTTCCCTCCTGCGATGAATGACGGGGGTTGCTAAAGGTGCCCCTGGCCCAAGGTGCCCCCAGCTTTTCGCTCAATTTTGGATCCTCTGAGGCCCTCGGGACCTCGTCAGGGGTGCTCTGGAGGCCGTGGGGGTCTCCTTGGAGATCCTGGGGGCACCTTGGGCCAGGGGCACTTCGAGCAACACCCGATGGGGGGGGGAGCGGGCGATGCCCGAGGGGGGCAGCGAGGGCTGCCGAGAAGGGGCCCTTGAGGGCCCCTCAAAGACCCTCAATGGCCCAGAAGGAGGCCATGATCACCAGGGTCCGAGAAGAGCACCTCGCTCCACCCCCCATGTATGGCCCACCGGTTCATCCGCGCCCAACGCCGCCGCCGACGACGACGGGCACGACGACGACGGCGGATTGTTCGGCGGCCCGGGCGGGCGGGACAGGAAAGCGGGCGGGACAGGCGGTCGGGACTTGGTGGGCAGGGCCGGCGGCGGCGGACGGGGACCTGGTAGCCGACGGCGGCGCAGTTCTTGTTGGCTTGTTGCCCTGGTTGTCCGAGGCGGGGGCTTAAGTATAACCGCTGTCTGGGGGATCCATCTTGGGGGATCTCGGCAGGCGGTGGTTACGGATACATCCCCGCCTCGCTTGCGGTTGCCTCGGTGTTCTGAACGTTCGAACCTTATTCCGGGTTTTGTAATGAGCGTGGAGGGGTACCCCCCGACGTTGGTCAACTTCGCCTCGTCGTCGCGCCGCGATGGGGGTCGGAGCGCCTTCGGCGCGCGGTGGCTGCCCGCGACGGAGGTCGATGTGGGGCTGTCGGCGGGGGTGACGCCCCCCCGACGCGTATTAAAAAACTCGGAGTACCCCTGCGGATCCAGTGGACGCTGGGGCATCTGAGCCCCAGCCGGCGCTGCAGAAACCTGGCCTGCGGGGGTGATGTTTTGGGGCTACCAGCTACCATGCTGTGGTTGCCTGTTTCTGTTTTTTTTTTTGGGAGGCGCAGTTATCGATTCCAATTCTGGTACTTTGTTGCCTTTCGGCAGTCCGCGGTTCTGAGTTATACTTTCTGCTTCCGATTATGGTAGGTTGGCGTCGCGTCGACCGGCGGCGACCCCGCCATTGGCGTTCAACGTTGAACGCCGCCGGCGATCTAGAATCATTCGATGTTGCACGATCTGCCGTTTCGGAAACGGCCGATCGTTCAGGGCTGAACGATCCCCGCGGAGTTAGAAATCAACGCCGACGTCGGCACGACACGAACCTGACGTACCCTGAGGCGACGAGAGGGGCGAATAACCCAGGGGCGGGCATTACACGTATTCGCCTGGGTGCCTAGCCGAAGGCGTGGACCATCGGCGCTTTTGGATACATGCATGTCAGGCGTTCCAGAAACGGCCTTGCCTTCAAGGATCGAAGGAGTTGGCATCTCTTCCTCCGCGGAAGGCGGCGGAAGGCTGGCGGAAGGCGGCCGATGTAAAACGAGG